ATAGTAAGTTCAAGGCCAGCCTGAACTACATAGTAATACCCTCTCTCAAAAAACCAAAACAGACAAACACCCCCAAAAACCCCACCACCACCACCACCACCAAACAAACAACAAAACAAAACATAAAAACCCAAACCGAAACAAAACAAAAAAATTCACCCAGTCAACTAAGATTTATTGAGTTACCACTATGTGCCCTGGGGAGCCTGCATTAGTGGAGCTTACTTACATTCATCTGAGAAAAGTCAGACAATAGGCATAGTAAATAAATAAATGATTGAATCTGGAAGAAGTTGATAGGTGTTATGAGGCAAAGGACCAAAGAAAGCAGTTCAGGAGTTCTGGTGGGAGAAATCCAGTTTAAAGGGGATGATCAGGATAGACCTCATTGAAATAGAAAAACGTGAGCAACATCTTGAAGTGAGTAAGAGATGAGGATGTGAATTTCTAAGAAAAGAGTGTCCCATCAGAAGAGGGCACCACAGAGGCTCTGAGTCAAATGCATTCCTGAAATGTTTGTGGAATGACGTGGAACCAATGTGTCCAGAGCAGAATGAGTAAGGAGGCCAGAAGAGATGAGGTAAGGGAGTAGTATACACAGTGGTGGACCTTGTGCATCTTCATTACAAGGATTCTGTCTTTAATTTGAAAGGAATATGGGATCATAGGGTTTTGATCTATGTTGAATGCAGCATTGAGGCTGTAGCTCAGTGTGTGAGTGTAGAAGCAAGGAAATCTGTTAAGAGGCTATTACAACAATTCAAGAAGAGGGGATGATAGCTTGGATCAGTTTGGTTGCAGTTCACTGGTGGTGAACTGGTGGTGGGAAGTGGTCAGATTATACATATGCACTACCATAAAGTTTCTTTCTTAAAGTTTCAGCTTTATTGAGGCATAATTTAAAAATCATGAAAATTACAAGGTTTTAATTGGGGTGCATACTTACCCTGTCTGCATAGCTCACAGTTCACCAAACACCTACTTGGATTTGTCCTACACAGGACCATAAGATCTCTAACAATGAGTAAAGTATTACACAAGAAATTCTTCTGTTTTTCAATCTGCGGCCAAAATTCACTCAGAGTAGTGACTACTACTGAAGGCATTCCAATCCACAATGATTTTTTAAAAATGCTAATAATATATAGTAGTATTGTATCACTGCTCTGTGGCAGAATAGGCACATTGATAGGTTAATTTTTTAAATTCTTTATAAACCTTGATGTATTTTTATTATCTTTTTAAATTGATGAAGCCAATGCTTAGAAATGAAATGTTGCAAATCTAAAATCTAAACTCTAAATTCCATATTTGCCCTAAGGACAATCCATAGCTCAGAGGCGAGAGCAAAAGATACAGTGAGAACCAGCATCAAACATTTTTGCGACAACTGTTGTAGGAATGATGACTTTACTCTTATAATTTTACTTTTGTTGCAAAATCCCACTGCCCAGAGACCTTCTGTATGAGGGAGACATTAGGAGCTGTAGAAACTTATGAAACTGATATAATATGCTGGACTAGTTGAAAACTACTAGAAACATGCAGGTTGGCTTCCAAAGCATTTTGCAATAACCTTGAATGGAATAAACACAATTGTTTTGGTAAGAGTGTGTTGATAGAAACTGTTGAGGAATTAAGAGTCTCCCTAGTGAGTACAAAATGGCTGCCCTGTCTATTGCCAGGGAAAAAATGGGGCAAATTTATCCCTGTGGGCAACAGTGTATACTCCAGTCAATAGGAAATTAAAGAAAAGCTACCAGGCCACCATCCAAATGTTGGCTAACAAAATAAATGCCCCTCAGGTAGAGTTCATTCATTAATTCTCAGACACTTAAGAGGTTGAGGAGCTGCAGGTGCCACCTCAGCTCTAGCAAGGTACAATGATAAGGGACAAGATAACTGGAAATTATTCACTATGGTGCATATGTGGAGGTGTGCTTCCTCAAGTGTAACACCAAGACAGCAGAGGAAAAGCTGGTGGAAAACCTGAAAGCCTGAGGAAGTAAGGTGAATTCAGTTGGGTACATGGCATCCTATGGGTCACTAAGCCTGTAACTATGTACTGAGTCTCACCTTTCCCATCGGCAGAACAATGGCTTGTGGAGGGTTGTAGAGGGTAGAAATATCCTGAGAGCATATTGTTATATATGTACTTTTGATTCAGATGAAAACCAGTTTACCAAACACAGTACAATGAAAATCAAAACAAAAGTCATTGCTGAAGGTGGTAATGGACCATAATACCAGGGATTAAGATTTCATGGAAATAGTTTGGTAATTCCTATTGGAATGCTAGAGAAGTAACTGTATCTTGTTTAAATGAATTGAAATGTCTGAATTAAGTCAGCTACATCAATTTAAGTATGAAAGGAATTTTAACTCCATTTACTAATATTTGTTCAGGATAGTTTAAAAAGAAAATGTGGAAACCCTGGGGGAGCTAGTAACTTGTATGATGCTAGTAACTTGTGATCATTAATGATGGTGATCATTATCAAGAGCCTTTTTCTGTAATATAACATTGCTAGAACTTGACATTGCACTCTTGTCTTTTCAAAGCAATTAAGTTTTATATCTTGTGAAATGAAAAACATTCTTATGAATTTTAATCTTGCTTGACATCATAAGTTAAGGAGCCAGTTGGTCCATGTCTACAGGGGAGAACTCCTAACCAATATTTGAATCCTCTGCATCTCTAGTGAGACCCCAGAGGTACCCCAAGAGAAAGTTGAAAGTCCTGCTATGTAAGGTGGTAGAACTGGTGACAGGTGAAATAAGTTTAATGAGGAACTTTTTGATACCGAGTTAACTGGGAGGTTGGTGGTAGAAATGGGGTGGGATGTAATATCATATGTATCTTATCTGGTTAGTGTGACCTCTGAAATGTCACAAGGGAGGTGCTGTCTACTCCATTGGTTTTCTTATGCAAATTTTGTTGACATAAGTTTATGTCTACATATAGTTGCAAGAGATATTTCATTTTCAATTCAACTCTTTCTCCTCAATGGAAAGATAGTCTTGCTTCTTAGTTTGTGGGAATATATCTCTCTAAGATGTAGGACCAGCGTACTACAGGTAAAATGTTAAAGTCCATGAATAATAGGGCCAAACTGTCATTTTTCTTTTATTACTCCAAGGTTGGCTACTTGGAAGAACATGGAGAGTGTATAAAGCAATAGCTATAGCAAAAGCTGCAAATTAATCTCTATGGGAGTTGGTGGGCTTAAAAAGAGCTGGAAAGCATTGACCAGACAAGCCCCAGGAAGGGAGAGGGGGAAAATGAAGACAAAACTTTCCCCTGTTCCAATGAGTGTGAAGAACTGAAAAACAAGCAACAAAATGGTTCCAAAATGTAACTGAATGGTTTGATTTCATAGTAGGGGTTTCTGCTCTCAGGTAAGGAAAAGTAATAGGCTATGAAACTGCAAGTGAACAAGTTACTCCAGTGCCCCCACGAAGAGCTCTACTGGCACCAGTGAGTGGTGTGGATTTTGTGGACAGGGATATGTAGAGTGGCAAATAGAGTAGTAGAGTTATTGGACAATGACTCTGGTCCAGGCTTAGCTGAGGGCAATAGTAGCAGTGGTGCTTAATATAGCTCTGTGGGAAGCCATCAGATGCCAACCAATGTGTATGTGTGTGTGTGTGTGTGTGTGTCTGTCTGTCTGTCTGAGGCTAAGGCCCCTCAGAAGATTCAGAACAATCATAATTTGGAGAACACTTCTGGTGTTAGCCCCTCGCACTGTGACAGGTGAAGGACTTAGACAAGGTTAAAGTTCCAACAATCAAGCTAGTAGGGCTGAGCTGTGAAATAATCTGTCAATCATTGGTTGGACCTTGTTCCTCCAAGCTATTGTGGTAACAGGAAATGCCCTTTAATTTTTTCTTGTCTGAGGGAACACATTGGTAATTTGCTAAAACATAAAAAAGTATTTCTCATTCATATAATAGGGGTAAAAAATAGTTGCAGAAAACCTGCCAAGGAAGGGTGTGAGGCTGACAGCAAGGCAATAAAGCACTTTATGCACATGGGCATCAGAGATTTTGGCTAAACTCTAGTTGTTAGGATTCTTATTCACTTGCCTGCTTTTACATACAATGTTTCTTTTATTTTCAACATGGAGAGGTACAATAAAAAAAACTAAAGCTTGTGCATAAGTACTGTGAACCAGAAAACAAGCAATTAACATTTATTTGATAAAACATATAATACATTTATAGGGTATACAGTACCAGTATGTATCCAACTACACAAAGGTACAAAATTATACATACATGCTCCAGAAGGAGCACTATGGCCACTGTACAAGTAATATTGGTGGAATAAACCTCCAGCTTGCTAAATCTGGTGTTTTTGAGTGTTAAAGATGCAAGAGAGTGAGCGACAAATTTGACTTCAACAGGTGCACCTAGCAGCTTTCAATGAGCTTTACAGTCATTGAGTCACATTTAGAGGTGATTTTTAATAGAAAATTTATCTTTAGTAGAAATGTCCACAGTGCCTGTTACATAGCAGGAGATCAATCAATACTTTTTAAAGCAACAACTCAACAAGTGAATGAAAGTTCTCAGTGATGTGGGTTTAAAATCTCTTCTGTATCCTGAAGCTCTTCATACCAGATATTAGAAAAAACTAAGTATTATCCAGATGGCTTTATGTATTCAGAATCTTCCAAGTAGAAAGATAATCAAAGTTAAATTATTTATTGTATCTGCATTCTTTTGGGGATTTTCTTCCATCTACCTTTGGGATCTAGTAGGCTTGTGCCCTGCATTGAGCATGTATATTTGTCTTTGAGCTAATCCACATAAAAGCCAGATGGAGACCCTATTATTTAGTGGCAGAATTTGTAGGGCATTTTCTGTATGTCTCACAAGGCCGAGCATTTGCTTACCTTTATGCCCGAAAGACAGTGCTGCCCTCTGACCTGCAAAGTTGCAAAATGGCCAACGCCAAAGTAGTGAGTGGAAAGGTGACAGAAGAGAGAAGCACCAGCTTATTGATATTTGTCATTTTTATTCGCAATACTTTAGGTCCAAGTTTCAAACTGCAATATTTTTACACTCAAGACACAGTCATGCACAATCCATATTTCAATTTTCTATTGCTTCAACCACAATTTAAAGTAATGATATTGGAAACAAAAATCCTTTAAAAAGATTGTATGCTGAGGGCAGAAGGATGGAACCATACCATCAGCAAGTCTACAAAAGAAATAACTTACTCAAAAATCAAACAAACAAAAAGACCATAAATACCTTTAATCCAAAGTTACAGAAGAATTTCACTACACATGGGTTTACAGATAACACATTTTGACAAAAGTAATGCACAGCCAAATGAGATACAATTCTGTGAAACAGTGAAAATGTAGATCCTCCTCTATTTTACCTCGATGTTAGGCGTATAATTCTAGTAGACATCAATACCCTTATAATCTGGCTCCTACTGGCTCATGTATTCATATTTAAAACTCAATCCATTAATGGTTATTGGATTCTTTTAGAGCTCTTATTGTCACAAATGAATATAGTTTATGCGGGTCCATAAAGCACACAGCGCACAAGCACACACATTGAATTTGAATTTCGCCCTCGGGGCTGGTTGGCACTCTGCTGTAGGCAGGCAATTGGGACCATTCACTAACTTCCAGTTTACCTTCTTTCCAGCAGCATACTCACACAACTGGCCAATCACTGTAGGAGCTGTCATTGGAAACACTATCTTTGACTTCCAATAAGTAAATTTGTCAACACTTCTTAATGCCAAAAGCATATATTTGCTTTTTCATTTCTCTCTGCAACTTCCAAATGCTTAAGTCCACTCTTTGTAGTCTCTGCCATTAAAATGCATGAGATCTGTCATTTTGTGCCATTTATGAATTTAAATCTATAAGGCCTAGCCCTGCTTTACAGGAAAGGAGAGGCCCAAGCACAGTTCTATTTTAGCAAATATGACAGTATATTTCTGCTCTCGTAGCAAATACTGACCACAGCTTAATGAAGACCAGATTTTACATACAGAATATTTGGAAAATAAAAACTGGGAACACTCAACAGAGAAAAAAACATTAAAACAAAACAATTGTGAATAAATTGGAAGGCTGCCACGAGTTTTATCAACATTTTCTAGTATTATTAACTTCACTTACTTGAGTTTTTCCATCTTACATAATTCTAGTATTTGACTACACCATAAGAGATCCAGGCTTAAGCATGTGATATTTGCCATCAGTTTAGCAAATTTAATTTGCAAAGCAACTTACTATACGACGGAATATAAAGCTTTGGGAAAGATCTTGGAGAGCAGCTAGTATGATACCTTTATTTTACAGATGAGGAAACAGCAATAGAAAAGTTAAGGGAGTTTCCCAGGGTCATGCAGCAAGTTATTCCTGAAGCCTATATTAGAATTCAGGTCTCCTTTCTAGGCTAATATTCCTTCCACATCTGACTTATTCTCTAGAATTACTGATAACTTTCTTTTAGGTACTAAACCACCTGAACATGCTACCTGCTTTACTGTTAGTATTATGGGATAGAATTCACCTGATGGCAGTTTCTGAAGGAGACTCTGATGGCACTGACTAGATAACTTTATCTTGCAAGTTCCACCAAATTAAGTGTCAGTAAATGCTACAAGTAGTATAGTATACTTATATGCAGAGGCGTGCACACGGAGGTGATATCTCACTTCCCGCATCTGCAGATTCAGATAGATACTCTTTAATATTAAACAGATATTCCAATGCATGAGAAGTTGGGTTAGATTCATTTGGTTACTACAAAGGAACAGGAATGTGGCTCAGAAAAGAGTGAAAAAGTGAAAGCTAACCAACAGAAAGATTATAGTAGAATAAGTCTTTTATGAAAAACTCTTTCACAGAAAAACAATTCCATTATTTCCAAGGTCTCATTTATTTCCTTATCAAGCCACATGCAAATATATGTTCAGAACTGCATGTTAAGTTCACTCAATATCCGAGGCCCATTAGACTGTCAGTTTACAAATGCTGGATTTCAGTCTTTTGCTCAGAGACTGGGAGATGTTTGGTTTGTACCACTGGCTATGCCTTTATTTAATTGACTGTTAATGACAAATAGCTCAGAAAATGACCATGAAAGTCAGCTGCAGATGGCAGGTCTAAGACTTCTATTTTACACTTAAAATGGCTAATGAAAATCCTATGAGTTTTTCTAGGTATAGAGTCCGCTTTTGATGATAAGTAACATATTGTTCAAGTCCTCACCTAAAATTTCTTGGCGAGTTAGAAGGACATTCCTCTCTTTTAGTAGATGGTCTCCCTTTCTCTTAAAATTACAATTACTGCATACAGCCTATAATTAAGCAGTGCAAAAGCACCCGGAGCCCACCTCAAGTCAGAACTAATAGGACTGTAACTGAATGTCACTAGACAGAGACAATCCTAAATATTTGTCTTATTGATTTCAGAATCAGCTTTTAATTGCAAGTCATAATTTCTCTTGACCTCAGTGTGACTTGATCATTAAAAGAAGAATCCTACCCGAATGATATAATATCTTGTTGAGCAAGGAAATGATTGGAAATGGGGACTTTATGCTTTTATTCTTCTAAAATTCAACTTGAAAATTTGCTAAAAAGACCCAGAAAAGTGGTACCTGAAACAAATGTTAATCAAAGGGGCTAAACAAATGGTCACCCCTTCTATCTAAAGTAAACAAGATAGACACTTAGATGCCATACCAAAGCAGAGGGCAGCCTGTTTTAAAGCAGAAGAATGTATTTGGAATTATAGTAGGGACATCTCCCTAGCTTTGACATAGATAACAGTCTCCTAAGAAAGCATGTGCCATACCTGAGCATGTGCCAACCTCAGCACGCAGGCAAGTATAAAGCCTATGGAATAACTGTAACTAGCAAATATCTGTGCCCTGCATGCTCTGGGCTCTGGCCAGAAGGCTTGTCCTTCTGGAGTCTTCTATGTTTCTAGAATTCCCTTTCTGATGTTTATTCACTATAAAGTAAAATTAAGACAACATCAAAGAAAATTTCAAAAAGAAAATCACATAATCCCGCTGCCCTAACACAACTGATTTCCATTATCTGTGTACCCAGTCTTTGCCCATATGTACATTTATTTTTATATAGTTGTGGTCCCTATTTATGGTATTTAAAACTGATTTCATAGAATCTCTGAGAACTGGCAGCCTCATTAGAAATAGCCCACTGAGCAAAGGAATATAGTTATTTACATGATCTTTGAGCTGAGAAATACTCTTTATAGACAAACATCTCAAACTATCAAAACAGTTATACAGACAACAGGAAGCAATTTTGTATTTCTTTTTCTTTTAGCAATGGAATGTGTTTCACAGGGGAGGGATAGATGTGAGGATCAGGTGGTTAAACTCAAACATTGGTGTGCAATTCACAAGCCTGAAAGAAATCTGAATAACACAATTAAAGAATAAATACTTGAGTTAAATTTTCTCATGTGACATGGCCATCCAGTAGCCAAAATGGAACATGGACACACAAATATTTACAGTGACACATAGACAAGATCAGGAAGAACGAAGTCATTACCCAACATGGTAAGTGATTTGAGGGGACTCTGTCATCCCAAAATCCTTATGGGATTATGACAACGCACCGGATCCTTGCTACAACATCAATGTTCTTTTCTTTCTTAAATAAATAATCTCTACTGTGCTTCACACCCTTCCCTGACTTTCACATTGCCCTACTCCTATCTCAGGACATTTTGGAATCAACATTCGATGCTGTGCTCTCATTATCTTGGGGCACACTAGCAACATTAAAGATCTGGATAGACTCACCTGTGTCAAGATGAGCTAAAAAAATGCAAGGAAAGGAAAGAAACTATTAACCATCTGGAGTCCAAGTTGAATCAAATGTACCAAATGTGAATCCTTCAGCATCATTTTGGCATGAGAAACAGCTTCTCTCTAATACTTATTAGAAATATACAGAACTCTTCAACACAGGGAAGGGGCTTTAGAAGCTGTTCTCATCTGAAAATTTACATAGATACAAATAAATTCGTAAGAATAAAGCCTACTAGGATATGTTATCATCAAGTCTTGTACAAAGTGTTGATAAAGTAGTACCTGGCTCCTCATTGTAATATGCTGAAGTAAAAGCATAAGGAGCAGCCATTTCTCTGCCTACAGTGATCTGAAGGATCACTGCTCCAAGGTCTCCAAAATAACAAAACAAAAACAAAACTGCCTTTACAATATATAAGGGATGCTAACTGATGACTAGTTAGTTGCTTCCCAACCAGGTATTGGGTTCTATCACCAATGTACTAGATTTTATTTGCATTCCAGGTATTTCATTGAATTACCTGGAATTATGAGTGAAAAAAACATTTTAAATGAAATAAAAATTACAGCCTGTCTATCTCATTAGAGCAGTGTGGGATTAAAAATTTTAGACCTAGACACCTCTTTGCAAAGTATAACATAATATGCATTAAATTAATATTGCCATTTGATTTTCTTTTCATGTTTGTTGCTTTATCCCAGTGTGGACAATTTGTTTTTGAGGGGGAGGTGAGGGTCAAGACCCTCTCAAATTTTGTAGTCAAAGAAAACAGGAAATTCATCAGTGGTGTTTTCTAAACATAAACATGTGCATTATAAGGTTAGTAGAAACTCTAAAGAAAGTGCTTTCATTTTAAAGAAAGGATGGATGGATGGTTAGATGGATAGATGTACCTTGCAAAGCAGGAAAGAGGGTTATGTCATTAACCTCTTTCTCCTTCTTGCTTAATGAAGATAGGTTCTATTCAGATTTCTTATATACTACAATTTAAGAAGTCTTCTACAGCATAGACTGTTAGCTTTTCAAAGGCTCGGAGAAACAACTTTCCAAAATTTATAAAATTGACAATAAAAGAAGCATATCCTTTTCCATACATACATCTTCCAGGTATTTTTCAACTCTCAGAAGATTCAGGAAGTAGTAACTGTTGCATTTTTAAGAAATAGATATATGGTGAAATAATAGTCAAATTGGTATTTTCCCCAAGCTGCAAAAGGAATTCAGTTGGACTAATATTTCATGGAATATATGATTGCAGGCCAGAATAATTTTCACTGGGGAATTTTAAGATCATTACTGAACAGGCTTTTGAAGTTCAAAAGCCCAAGGAACTAAAAGAACACATCATATCCCAAAACTGAAATTGGTGGCAAACAGGAAAAATGAGAAGTATTTAGAAGCAAATGCTGATTGGGATGTATCTTTCACTGATCTTCCATTTCTTACAGAGCTGAAAGCTTATTATATCTCTGTTCTTTATTTTCAAAAAAATTCCAAAGTGTGATAAATTGTCAAATTAAATCATTTTATCATAAAGAAATGTTGGTTAATGGATATATTTCCTCCTGGTATGCCTGTTTTACAGTGCTTATGTTCCACAAGCACAAGAGAGGCTTAAATTACATGTCTTTACCTTTGTTTACCATAATGTCCAACAAGGATTTCAGTATTACACATGTGTCTTATTTTCCTTTTGGCTCTCAGAGAAAGTCCCATCTTTGTTTAAATAATGGTTTCTCCTATCAGGGTTTCCCAGGTTCAGAACTTGGGCTCACCCAAAAGGGATTCCCTTTTCAGTGTGTCCTTTTTCCAGTGTCACAAAAATTAACAAGCTGGTTTTCATGACAAATCAACCATCTCTTAAGCGCCCTTGTAAAAATATGATAGGATTTCACCATTTGAGCTTTATTTAGATAAGGAACTTTCTAAAGCCCTTCCTGAACACACATATTCCCTTCTGCTTTCAGAAAATGTCTTACAAGAAACCTTTTCCAATACAAATGCAGAAAAATAGGTACACAAACCAAGCCACCACTATAGAAGAAGAATAAAAAATTGCAACTCTATTAGGGCATGGAGTTCCACATGTTCACACAGTACTTGCTCTATTTTTTTTGTTGGTTTTTTGTTTTGTTTTTGTTTTTTTGCTTTGTGTTTTTGCTTTCTTTTTTAAAAAAAACATTTGACATCTTTTTTTCTGGACATCTAATGACAATGCAAGTGAAAAACATCACATTAGGTAAGGGGTTTTGAAGGAGGTTTGAATGCAAGAGGGACTACTCTCTAACTTAAAAACAAACACAACACTATGAAGAGGAAGTGTGCATCTTTGAGAAATCTTTTTCTTCAAAGTGAATGCACAAAATGAGGGGATTCACTACTGGCTCTTTCGCTTCACGGTGGAAATGACCACTTGATGGCCACTTCAACATTGCTGCCCTGTTTGGGCTGCGATTCGGACTTACAAATAAATTACATAATCTGAGGGAATAGGAAAAAAGGCTTATAAGAAGTTTCTATTCATTTGAAAGTTAATGAACCCCCACCCGATTTGACTGTCTTTTCTTTCATCTTTCCTAAAGCAAAATGTTACTTCAGTCTTACTCATGAGGGAGATGGTGAGGGGTAAGGCTTGCAGTCCTAGCGGCTGCTGTTCTTAATCGCTTCTTTTGCAGCGATAATCAGAGGAGTCAGGCTGGAGAGAGGCTTGGCTAGTTTTAAAAATGGATGCTGCAAAAGGAAGAAAAAAGAGAAGCATTACTGAAATTCTTTCCTCCAACAAGTATATTACTTTATATTTTCAAGCTGCTTTTTTGTTGTTAAAATGCATTGTGAGCACCCAATTAAAGATCATGTAATTTAAAATGTAGTGCCAGTTTTCGTCCTTTGAATGCTTTTGTCTTTCAGTGTCATGAAATCCTCTGGATTCAGACTGGCACAATCGGAAACTCTGAGTAGGGAACTTGCAGAATTCCACTGAGTTTCTACTGGTCTGAGTTTCTGATTTTCTTGAAAAGATGAATTTACAGTATCTAGGGCAGCCTTCATTCTTGAAAATGTATCTTCAGATGACCAGTAAAGAATTTTACTGTGAAACCAATGGCTTCCTAACTGCTAAACCCAGTAGCTATGCCTCTACCATTTCTCTTTTTGCTCCTCTGCAGTACTTAATGCAAGTGAATATCCTTCTTTGAATGGTTTCCTCTTTTGGAGCTTGTGACATTGTACTGCGTGGCCCCTCCCCGTCACACTGTGTATGCACGCTGATTACAGTATTTCCTCTCCATCTCTTTCCCTGGTTTGACTCCCTCCTCCTGCCTCCTGCATACTAGAACGTAGCATTTATCATCTTCTTTCTCTAATTTCTCTTTCTTCTTCCTTCTCTTTTCTTCCCGTCTCTCTCCCTCTTCCTTCTTTCTTTCCTTCCTTCCTTCCTATGTCTACTGTTTTCTCTTTTTGGCAGTATTGTGGATGGAACCTAGGGTCTCATGTGTGCTAAGTAAGCACTCTACCACTGAGCCATATTCCCCAGCCCTTTTTATTTTTTATTTTGAGACAAGGTCTTGCTAAATTGCTCAAGCTGGTCGTGAACCTGCATCCTACTGCCTCAGCCTTCCAAGCAGTTGGGATTACAGGCATGTACCACCACGCCTAGCTCCAAATTACCTCAGATTTTCTTTCTTTCTTTCTTTTTTTTGTATCAGGGATCAAACTCTGGACCTTGCATCTGTGAGGCAGGCAGCGGAACCACTGAGCTAAATCCCTGGCCCTGATTTTATTTCTTTTTATGGTTTCAACTTATCATCAACTTTATGGGGAAGACTACCAAATTTATACTGTGTGACTTGATCTCTTGAACTCTAGTTTTTGTTCTCCAATTGCCTGCTGGATATTTCCTCAGTAATGTTCTTCCGTCACTTTATGTTCAACATTTAAAAAACTGTTAAAGTCTCCCAAACAGGATAATCTTGGGTGATATAAGCTACAAGAACTCTGGAGTCAGAACATTTAGGTTCAATCCTCTCCTCTGCTTACTGTAATGGCTAAGTAAGGTAAGTGACAGTCCCTTTTAAACTACACAGGGGCCAAGAAATGTTAACCATTGCATTATCCTCTGTCATGTCCTTTTACTGAATGCCACTGTCAATTTGATATCCTGAAGTCACTTTTTTCTTCCTCTATGTTCTACATGTAAACAGACACCAAGCAACTTCTCAATATCTCTTACATTTGTCTCTTGATTTTCCAAGGTCAGGCCTAATTAATTTAATCTTAAACTATAATAACCACTCCTGCCTGCACTGTTTTTCTGTTGCTAATTCTGACTGCATACTACCAGATTAATCTCCCGAAAGAAAGGTTTCTTTTCATCATGTTTGCCGTCAGATATCTGTAGTGCTCCCAAACTGTTTACAGTCCCATCTCTTTCACCTGGTGTTCAAGACTCTCTCTTCTTCAGATCTTATCTTTTGCAGCTTCTTTGCTTGAACCCTTTACTTTGGCCATTCATTATGTTCCCTTCAACCCTGTGCACACGCCTTTGGCTGTGCTATAACACTCCCATCTGAAACCCATTCCTCTCTTTACTTAAACTTATCTAAAAGTGATTTGTCCTTCAAGGCCCAGCAAACTCCACTATTTGCCAACATGTTCTGATGAACCTGCTTATAGACGTATTTCTCTAACCAAACATTTACTATTTGAGTAGCCACTTGGTTTGTATGATATCTTTTCACATACTCAAGGAGACTGAACTTCTTGTGCATGGGAATCATACCATTTACAGACTTGTGTAACCCACTGGACTTATGCTTTGCAAACTGAAGTTGCTCAATAAACATCAACCGATGGACTGAGAACTAAGGGGATAAAGAAAGGCACATAAATACTCAAGACTTGTGTCTTTCCTCAGGTCTTTCAGTGGCATGAATGTTATGCATCTCTCTCCTTTGTGACCCCTAAAATGGGCAAGGATAGGCTAGGGTCAGAGAATAGAGAGACATAGACTGAAGGAGATAGGCAGGTTATTGCTTACATGTATAAAATCAAAAGATAAACTTCAATTTATACTAAAAATATAGTTTTGCATCAGTTATCTAACTGGTTCAAATAAAAATACTTTTGGAGAATGAATTAAGTTGGTAATTCAAAGATCTATGTAGTTGTATAGCTGCATTAAAAGAACCTGTATTTTCATCCTTGAATAAAATCATAACAGGATGCATACGGTGGGAAGGGTGAAGACTTGGAAGTGAATCAAAAAGTTTAGGTTTTCATCTATAATTGAAGGCTGGATTCAGTAGGGAATTAATAAAAGGTCAGTTATAATCTCCTACAACAACCTGTGAAATGCTGACCGGTAGCAGCATAGAGAAGGTGAAGCATCTTCAGTTCCTGTCAGAAGGTTTGATTCCAGGTATGATTTGAGCTGAGATATGTTTTGTACAGTTGTAGCTCTGTCACTGGAAGGAATTTAGAGGCAACAGGAAGAAACTTTTTCTTTTGATGGTGGTGGGGGATACAAAACACAGTGAATCTGTGTTTAATATTCTTCATAACCAAGTGTTGTACCTTTTGTTGAATTGGCTTATGAGTACAAGTTCACAGAGATAACAGCAGTCATTGTTCTTAGATGTTGAAGATCTTGATATGTTCCCAAGGAACACTCTCCAGAAATGAAGCTGTGGGATAATCCTGGGCATGTGCTATTTTTAAAAATAAATACATCTTTTTATCAGTATTGGTTTTTGTGTGATGTGTGGTAGAAAGTCAGACAATCCAGGGCTCAAATCCAAGCTGTGCCACACAAGAGCTATGTGAGCCTCAATTTCCACATTGATAAAATAGGATAACAGCACCCACCCTATAGAGAGTTATTGTAAGAATTAAATGAGATACTGTATGTAAAAATTTGGTAGATACTATATATTAATTATTATCATATATACTAATCCCTGAGAGCCATAAAAAAGACAAATGGTTACAGAGGCACTCAACACTGGATGGTACTCACCCAGGCAAGCAAGTGCCTGCCAATTGGCATCACCAGCAAAGGGGCTTTGACCAGTAAAGCATTAGAGTAGCAAATGTCATGGAAATAATTGCATAGTTATGTAGAGAATTACCTTCTGCCAAGAACACCTGCATACAACATCCAGGGGCACAAGTAAAGCTTAGAACAAAACAGCAACACCAGAGGGTCACGTTGCTTTTTTTCCTTGCAAAATAAGACTCTGGGAAGAACAAAAGCGATTTCGAAATTAAGCTGCCAACTTCTCAGAAGAAAGGCAACATGTCAATCAATGATGTATTAGATCCATGCCTATATTGATATGCCTGTGGTCTAAAATCAAATGGTAATAGCCTAACTCTAACTACACATATCCTGACAGAACTCTCTTTCTGTCATACATTGAGATGGAAAAGCTCAATATAATAACTCTCTCTTTGTAAGTGTCGAATTTTATTTTCACCTGCAAAAGCTCCTTGGCAGATCCTCGCCTATCCACATCCATCTCAAGACAGCGATTTAAAAAGTCACGGAATACAGCTGACAGCCTCTCAGGATTCTGGAGCTCTGGGGTTCCATTAGTGGCTATCAGGTATAATGCCTACAGAAAAAAATTAGAAAAATCCATTCAGTACATACATGTTAGGATCAGAAGTTGGCACAGAAGGCACAAACCAATTTTCTTCTGTTTTACATTCTGGGTTTTAAAAATTTCATTTTGAAGAATGACACTGATATACATGCCATAGTTTTTCTAAGATTTAGCCTATTAATCTCGGCAGAAACTGAGATGTCCTACTTTCAAAATACTTGGATATAAAAGTATAGGACTGTCTTTTGAGATGTAAGCCAGTAAAAATTCATACATAAAGAATGTGTGATTGAGCACCAAGGAAATGAAGCCAAAGGATTTTCTGTAAATCTGTTGACTCCGAAGAGTTGGGGAGCACACGTACAGTCAATCACAGCAATCTGAGTATAATCTCAGGAAGGGGAAATGGGAAATGTCTGCAATTTACTAACTGCCTATCTTATTTGAAGAAAATTTGTGAGTAGATGTGGGATGAAGACAGTAGATTATAAAATAGGAGAAGTACAAAAAAAAAAGATGGCATTGGCTGGATGAGAAGCAACCCATGGGGCCCAAAGACTCATATACTTCCGTGGCAGCTATAGCTCTATTAAGTCAATTAATTTCTCATGGTTTTACCCATAATAAGAGGTAAAATGAGAAGATTTGATATTACTAGTCTGGGTACATGACAATTATGTCTCTTACAGCAAAAACATAAGTTGTTAATTATTATACATCTTCAAGATTTTTGTCGTGTAAGGCCACCACTGAGAGGCATCAACTCATGATGTGCTGACAAAATCAAGGTCCCTAGCATTCAAGAAAGAGAGTTAGACCCAGGACCATTGCTAAATCTCAAAAGTAAGCGCATTTTTGACGGTTCTTAGGAGAAAAAAAAAAAAGGAAAGAAAAGAAAAAAGAAAAATAGCTGTCTATTTCTAATGCCTCTCTGATAAAACAATTCTGAAGCAATTAGTATGTGCCGGATTTGTACTGAACACTGGAGATCCAAAGATTAAAGGGACAGTTATCTTCTTTTCAAAGGTCACACAATTTAGTCAGGGGAAGAGACATAGACAGTGCTACAATACAGTGAGATTAGAATACCAGAACGTAGAAAGTGCTGAATAAACACAAGAATGAAGCAATTTACACCAGAGCTCAGAGGAAGCTTCAAATAGCAGACTGGCATTTGAAGAGGGTCTTGAAAACTAGATAGGAGTTTGCAGGTACTGCCCCCAAGGTTATGCCTGCTCATGTGATCAACTAACTCCCTAATTCTTATGAAGACATGGTCTCTCTTGCACTTCTTTGGGCTATGCAGCAAATTATCATCCCTTTCCTCTCTTCTGCCTGGCTCCTAATTATTATTACAAGTATTTTTAATAAAGTCCTTTTCCAGGCCAGATTATATAAACTGATGAAGAGAACTCTTCTCTTTTCCAGGAACTCTCACAGATGTACTTTAGAAAGGATCAGGAATGACTGTTTAATGTAGTGGCTATACAACCTGTAGTCCATCAGAATCACGTAGAAGGCTTGTTAAAAACAGGTTCCTGGACAATCCAACAGGAAGAGATGACAATCATAAATATCTATGGGCCAAACACTACTGTGCCCAACTATATAAAACAAATAGTAATGGACATGAAAAGTCATACATGCACTAATACAATTGTAGTGGGGGACCTCAATACCCCACTGTCACAAATAGACAGATCAACTAGACAAAAAATAAGTAATGAAAT